TTAGAAACCATTCAATGTAACTGGGAGTTCCCATGCTTGGATAAAGCAATACCATGTGGAAGAACTGACGCTGGCTGCCTCCCTCCAGAAGATGTTTCCTAGTTGATCTCATTGGGATGCCTCCATTGCTGTTCCTAGTTGTTTTACTTTGAGGAGTTTGAAATAGAGACAGCCCGATTTCTTTGAAACAAAGCAAGCATCTAGCTAGTCTTTTCACGTTAGCTCAGTCAGAAGGTGTCTGCTCCATTTCCAGGATTTAGCAAGTAGCCAGACGATGTAGGAATTCGCCTTTACCCTTTGGTAGCTGTCATTTCTTTTCTTTGCTGTTTTATAGTCGTGAAACCTTGCTTTTTCACCCCTTTAAGTGGCCAAAAGAAGACTGTTCTCTGGCACACTCCCAAGGCACGGCAACGAGTGACCTTGCTGCTGTGTGAAGGAGCCGTCTTGGTTTAGAAATCACTCGCAAGGCCCTGAGAGCAAGCAACCTGGATTATAGAAGGAGCCTCCGGAAACTCAGAGTATGTTCTTTCCTGTCTTTTCATCAGGACATTGGTTGTCCCTTAGCCAATGGTCACCAGCCATCAGGTCAAGAGGCATGCTTGCGGAATTGCATGGGGCATCAGCCATACTGCTGTCTTACGAGAGCCGGAGGAGGAACATGGAGGGGAATGAGGCCTTTAGTTTAGAGTTCTCTGTGATAAATGGTTCCTGATAACCTTCCCAGGTTCATCTTGGGGAAAGAGACACACGATGATGGACTGCCTGCATGCACATTCATCAGACTTGAAGTGAGACTGGGAGTAAAGCAAAACCAGACCGCCTCGGACAGAGCCAAAGAGCACGGAGCACTGCCCCAGACTGCCCCAGAGGACAGAGAGAAATCAGAACCCAAAGCTGACAATCAGGGGCTCAGAGTGAATCCGAGGCTTGAGATGTAGACATTTTAAACAAAGGTGCGCTCGCTTCATTAAGGGATTAGTGGCTGTCTGGTTTTGAAATTAGGAAAGGCTCAAAACGCAGATTCCTCAAATCGGCAGGCTCTGGAGTCTTGGCTGTGACCTGGGAAACGGGGTACAGGAAACACGGGGGTGATATCCCCCACTTTTAAACTATTTTTACTATCAAGATTAGAGCTATTTTTTTCCCTGAGTATCAGAAATATTCTAAAAGAACATTTTATGCTGCCATGGCAGGACATATGGTGTTTAAGTCTTCCACTTGAATCTCACAGGAATGCAGAAAAACAGCCAGAAAGCCAGAGGCGTGAACACTCGGATTTCGAAAGGTGCCGGTGCGTCCTTTGACAAGGCCCTCGCTGCGATTCTGTTTGTGGAAGCACTGGTGCCTGCTGCCCAGAGTTGATCCTGAGCAAGCGGTTTTTGTGTGTGAACTTCCACTACCCTAGCTGGCCTCTGCCACATTACCAGTCAGTCCCCAGGGGCCGACTCTAGTATTCCTTTCACGTTGGTTTATTTCATTTAATCTGCATCACGATACCTGTAATAACATATTTTACTGCCATTCGGACTTGTGTTCTATATTGGTTTTCAGTGCAAATATTTCGCTTGCTGGTTCACAAGGTTTTTATTTCCTTATCCCAGTAAGAAGCATCATTAGGGCATTCATCTAGTGGCCTTGAAATAATAGACAAGTCCAACGAATGGTGATCTTAGACAAAAATACTGGTTATCGTGCGGAGATCAGATTTCCAAAAGGCATAAAGCTTGGAATTTCCCAGATTCAATTCCTTCAGGAGAGTAATGAATGTGAAAGGTAGGGTTAACTTACTATTCATTCAGCAGGGAGCTCTCTTCAAAGATATACAGCAAGTGACACTGGAGACCCAATGCCATAGTAATGGCCTCTTTCATTTCACACAGCGGGATAGTGCTTTGGCAATAAAACTTAAGGATGGAATCATTCCTATTAGGACATAGTTTGTCAATTGAGTTGAACACTGATAGAATTCAGTGAGAAGCTCCATCAAAAGGGTTTGCTTATATAAATAAAATAGCTCGCTGTTTAACATAATGCATCATTAAATAATGGAAGTACAGGTATCTTATAGGCATGCAAAACCTGAGCAGAATGAACGATTGATCACTTTCTGACATTTCTAAAGGTCTCCTCCATTCCACTTAAAGTCACCTAAAAAAGGTTCATGTCTAAAATGATGCTCTACTTACAACTTACCCACATAGATTATATAGAATATTTGTTTATTCTTTTTATATTATAACCTATATTCTTCTTCTCTTCTCCCCTCTCTATCCTTCTATTTTATTGCTTGACCTCAGGCACACCACTTCAATGTTTAGAAAAACAAAATAGACAAACTGTAACGCTCACCATCTCCACCAAGGATAAATATAAGAACATCCCAGCAGTAACTGTTAAGATCCAGTTTTGAACAGACGGATCGGTTGACAGTGAGAGGCCAGTGTATAGGCCTATGAAGGCAGTTAGAGCACTTATCAGATTCATCAGGATGGCAATCTTAACAGAAAGCCCAGAGTTCAAGAGCACAGCAAAGTCACCTGCCATTAAAGGGGAAAATAAAATTAATATTTAACCGGTGATATCAGTCATAAAGTAATGTGCTATCAGGTTTGCTCAAATTTCAGCAACTTCATAAGTAGACTTGAATGATTGGTTAATAAAATGCTCTCCTGTTTCTCTAGGGTTCACGGCCAACTATTATGAAGCTACATCTCACGTTTTCTTTTCTTTTGTCTTTGTGACTGTGATGGGAGAACAGTTAACACTGCTACTAACCAGAGGGTTGAATGTACCCAAAGGTGTCTTGGAAGAAAGATGCAATGGTTTCTTTCTGAAAACCAGCCATCGAAACCCTGGGGCGTCCAGTCGACTCTGAGGCTCTGGGGGTCACCATAGCTAGGAAGTGACCAAACGGTAGTCGCAGGGTCATCAGCTTGACACCACTAGATGCTCTCGGGAGAAAGAGGAGGGTTTCCAAGCCTATAAAGATGTACAGTCTCGAGAACGCACAGGTGCTGTTTTACTCTGTCCTAAAAGATCCTCAAGACTGGGAATTGACTCAAGGCTGGTGAGTTTGGTTTGAGATGCTGCTTCTGCGGTCAACAAATACGCAGAGACCTGTGGCACACTCTGATGCCTGATGTCTGCGACATTGTCAACTTAGAGAAATGCAAAATAAAAACCCTTGCTTCCTGAAGGTTGCTAAATATCTCCACCCCCACCCCCCATGGCCTCCCCCCAGAAATTTGCCTGGTGACATCAGGAGGCAGTAAACATTCCAGGAGCTTTATTGCTTATTGATGTAGGGACTCCTATGGGAGGGAAAGAGACCCACTTACTTCATCCAAGGTTTTAATTTCATTGCAGAAATTGGTTGGAAAAAGAATATTCCCACCTAAGAACAATTAGTTCTTACATCATGGCCCTGCTTGAGACTCGCCCTCAGGAAGGGAACACAGAAGATACGGGTGCTATAGCAAAATGTGTGGCAAAGAAATTAGATGGTGCCCAGACATCAGATAAAATAGCGTCTGGGGTCTTAAAGGCTTGTCTCCAAGCAAGCAGCCATCTAAGTGAGACGTCAACTAACTTTACATGGAAGAAGCACATCATCATCAGTCAATGGAGGATTGTAAATCATATAACCTGAAATCGAGGGAGGGATTAGCATCAGAGCCTAAATTGTGAGAACCTGGTTTGCAGAAGGCTGTGGATGACAGTGGGAGCCCAAGAGTCATTTGTGGGAACTATATGGGAAATAAGCCCCTGGTGAATTCCCTCTATCCATAATTGAGGGATGGGAGGAAAGTGGTTACTAAACAAACTGCATTGGAGAGATGAGTACAGAAGATTAAAGGCAGGAATCTGACTTCAATGGTTCAAATGTTGTCAGTTGATCCCCCTCTCTGGTGCATGCTGTACCTGACATGGCTTTCAATATTTTCTGTATGTTTGTTTTGTTTTTGCTTATTCAGGTTATCTCAGAGATCTTATGTCATTGGAGGTCCCCTGAGAAGTTGTGTTGGTTGTTTTTCTGTTTCGATATATGAAACTCAGGATTGATGAAACAATGGGGACAGAGAGTAGAATAAGGGTTTTGGGCACAGTGTGTGTGCGTGTGGGGGGGGGGAGTAAAGGGGAGATGATGTCATCAAGGAGTCCAGGAAGAAAAAGAATGCTTGGAAACTGATTATGGTAGCAATTGTACAATTCTGCTTGACGTGATTGAACTACGAAATGGTATGCTATATGTATTAACTTCCAATTAATAAAATTTAAAAATAAAAATAACATTCCCTTAAGAAAAGTGTTTTAATGCCTTGATGAGTATAAGAACATTGTTATTCTCTATATATCTTTTCTTTTCCCCAAAGAAGAATGACCTCGTACTTAAATGACCTGTGACAGCATCTCTATTACTTAAAGTTTTGAACACTGAAAAGAGACTGCAAACCAATAAGGAGACAATCGAGGATTCCACTTCCTAGTTGTAACTGCGTAACGGGTCCTCTGAACAGATCACAGACACCGTGTGTGGTTGTCACAGACTTTTGTATGACATTGTGGCATCCAGCTGATCACTGGATATTATTATATTAGCAAACGGCACGAGCATGAGAATATGGCAGCCACACCAAGTCCACTTTCATGAGTTCAAGAAGGGTCCTGAATGAACAGCTCTACGAAGAATGAGTTAATGGTGAGCCCAAGAACTGTGGGCAATAAGCACTGGCTGGCAGAGAATGAGACTGGGGGCTGAGGGGCGATACAGAGGAAGCCCAGAAGCAACGTAGACCTCAAAGTAGAAGTACAAAGAGAGACTCTCAAAGTCCTCTCCCTAGGGCTTAGAAGCGCCTGGGCCAGCCTGTTCTGGGTCTGTTCCAGAATTGTCTATCCTAGCCCATTTTGATTCCTGGGAGGCAGGTTTTAAATGACAGGGTTATTAGGATTATCCAGAAAAAAGAATCCTGTATGCCTCTGCTACCATACGCCTGTCATTTCAATTTTCTGCCTGGCTTTCAGCACATTGTGAAAACCAGGTTGACGAAACCATGGCTTGGTTTTAATTTAAATGTGATTTTATCTCATTGGTCTGTTGGCTGACCTAATGGATAAAGTTCCCTTCTGAATGTTTTTCCCACATTTAATATGCACAATTTAAAGGTCTAGCCAAACTTTTAAAAAAGGATCTTTCTCTGAATAGTATGCTCCAAGACACCCAAAAAAAGAGTCACTTCTGGCCCTGGAAAATATTGTAAGAGTTCCACTGAATTTTACCATGGAGTCCAGGGATTTTTTTTCTCCCTATTCCTCTTCCTCTTATGGTTTAAATCAACCATGAGTGGGAAGAATCCACCTTTCAATTATATATTTGAGAAAGACAAGCCTATTAATAGTAGCTACAAAGATACCATGACTTCCTCAAAATGCCAAAAAGGAATTCCATTTGTCAGACTTACCCATTTCGTGTGGGATTTCATGACACAAGATAGCAATTGTTGTGGTCACTCCCGACTCGGATGAAGATGAGAAAGCTGCTCCTATCATTAGGCCATCTGCGAAATTGTGCAGGCTGTCGCCAACCAGGATCATTATTGCTAACAAGCTAATGGTGTTGCCTGAAGAATCAATCGAAGGTATAGACAGCATTAACAGAGCACTACACATTTCATAGAATTCTTCCAACAACCAAGGTTCCCATCCACCACCGGTCTTTTAAACTGCTTTGTACCAGATGGCCTTGCTTCGTTTCGGCGCACCAAAAAAGGCAGGATTGGAGGTGCAACTGTGATAATCAAACTGCTTGCATGGAAGGTCACGGATCTTCATAGCAGATCCAGTTAACGATGAGGTCAACTATGGATGGCCATGAACTGTTCCATCGCCTCACCCAGATATGCCAAGAGAAGAAAATGAGAATGCTTTTGTTTTAAATTCTCAAATGTCACTGAAGATCTCTCCATATGTGTCTTTTGAAAAAAAATTATAAAGTAACAATCATGCCATGGAATGCAATGAAATAGTGTGTTATTTACCAAAAAATTCCTTCTGAGATGAGCTTGTCCCATATTAATTTTGACTGCAGGGTCCTGTCTGGGTTGTGGGATCATTGTGTTTCACTCCCCGGGCAGTGCTCATGGCCCTTGTTTAGTCCCCAACGGGGACTGGGACAGACAGAAACACTACCAAATGCTCTGACCTCCACGTTGATTTTGAAACAACTATTTAATAGTCTCCTCTCTTTTTTTTGCAAAATAGTTTCTTATACCAGACAAGCTAGAGATAGAACAAAATGAAGAAAAGCATCTGGTTCTGTGGGGTTTTATTACATAATACATCTTTAATTAGGAGAGTGTCGATTAAACATTTAGATCATAATGGCTTGATTAAGGTTACTTTTTTTTGATGGTTCAGCCTCTGAAAACCAATCATATAATACAGAATGTCAGTAGAATGAAGGAAAAGAACCATGGGATGATCTTTATGGAGGCAGAGAAATCATTTGATAAAATCCACCAGCATTTCTTGTGAAAACCCTACAGGAGACTGGAAGAGGAAGGAACGCATCTATGAAAAGCCAACAGCCAACTTTACAATTAACGGATAAATATATTTTTTAAAGCTGCAGGGTGCAAAGTCAACAAATATCAATTGAGTTTCTATTCACCAGCAATGAGAACTATGAAAGGGAAATTAGGAAAACAATTCCATTTGCAGTAGCATCTAAGAGAATAAAATACATAGGTATCGATGTAACCAGGGACATGAAGGGCTTACAGAATGAAAACTATGAAGCTTTTGGATGAAATTAAAGAAGACTTAGATATGTGGAGAGATTGTCCATGCTTATGGATTTGAAAGCTTGATATTGTTAGTAAGATAGTGATACAAATCAAGCTCATGTTCGATGTAATCCCAATATTCCCATAGTCTGCTGTACAGAAATAGAAATATCAATTTTCAAATTTATATAGAATAGCAAAAGTTTCCAAATAGCTGAAGCAATTTTTCAGGAGAAGAAAAGTAAACAGACTTTCCGATTTTAAAACCTATTACGTATACCGCGCTAGTAATCAAAACAGTCTGATATTAGTATAGCAATAGACACACTGACCAATGGAATAGAATTGAGAATTCAGAAATACACCTACACATCTATGATTAGCTGATTTTTGATACGGGTGTTTAGTTCATTTGATGGGGGGAAACAGAGTCCCAGCCAGAAATGGTGCTGGGAATGCAAATGAATGTTCACCCGCAGAGAGAAACGGCCTGCGTGCCTCACACCACACCAACACAAAACCACATGAAAATGGATCAACTGTTTAAATGTACAAATGAAACGTTACAACGCTTACAGAGCAAGCGGGTGCAATGTGGTCAGGTCCACATCTCACCAAATGATTACCCAATAAACAAAAGCACAAAAAGCAAAAAATAATCATTTTTAAGTTGTACTTCATGAAATTAAAAACTTTTGTTCACCAGAAGACTTCACAAAATAAGCTAGGAGAATACCTTTAGAAAACATATCTCCGATAAGAGTATACATATTATATGTACAAAGTACACCCATATATATGATATATACGTGTATATAACATATACATGTGTAGCTATATCTGAAACAGGTACATACATACATATACATGTACACATACAGGTACATATATACATATACATGCACACATAGACAAGCTAGAGATACATATATATGTATATGTATGTATATATGTATATCTTGGACAATTTAACAATAAGAAGACAAATAAGCCAATCATAGGCAAATAGGCAAAGAACTTGAAGAGACGCTTTAACAAAAGAGACATTCAAGTGGCCAAGAGACGCATGAAGAGCTGCTCAACACGATGAGCCACAAGAAAGATGCAGATAAAAGCTACAATGACGTCTCATTTCACCCTTGTGGTATGAGGAGCCCTGGTGGCATGTGGGTTAAACAGTAAGGTCGGCAGTTTGAAACCATAGTCACTCTTCAGGAGAAAGACGAGGCTTTCTATGGATGAACGTGAAAGCCCAAAATCCGTTTGTGGAGTCTCCGCACCGTCAAGCCTCCAGAGAATTCCCTCAGCCCATAGACCAGAGATGTGACCAGTCTTGCCCTCGGATAAAATGCATTGGAAAGTGGGTTATTGCAGAGATCATTAGTTTGGAACCTCCCATATTCTCATTCGATTTCCCTTTTGACCCATTTACAACTTGCTCTAGTTCCTATTACATTCTGCTTTCACTTGGATTGACGTTTTTCTGTGTTTTATTTTGTTGTCGTTATTGGGGCTCTGTATGATGTTCTTTTTTTAAAGTGTATTCACTTGTTTTTTAGTATACTTTTTATTGGGATATAGTTAACACATGATACAATTTAATGGTTCAATGACATTAAGAAGATTTGTGCACTCATCACCTCAGTCAGTTTTGGAACATTTTCATGTACTCACTGAAGTAGGCTTCCCATGTCGCCCACATCACAGCCCCAGGCAATTATCAATCCAGATGCTGCCTATAGAGATCCACCCATCCATCGCTTCTTATGCAGAAATCATGTGTAATACAAACAGGAAGCAAGAATCAAAGAAAATTTGAAAAGCCCAACAATAGTAAATAGACAACACAGAGGAAAACCTCATCCCATTAGGAACTGAAACAACTTTAAAATGGGTCAAAAGGGAAATTAAGTAATAAGACATTATCTTTTAACCTAACTACATTGGCCATAATCGACTTTACAATGTGTTCTGTCTGATAGCAAGGCTATACACCTCCATAGACTATGGTCAAAAGGAATTCATCACTAAAGCTTAATCCATGTGGGGACCCTGCAAATCCATTTGGGGCTTCTACTGTCATCCCTAGCCTCCTGCAAACCAGATGTTTATAATTAAATTCTATACCATTGGCTAAGCTAATAACAATCAATTGATGTGCCTTATTCCCTAGGAGGTTGATTTATAATGTTATCTGTCATAAAATGACAGGAATGTCCTTAAGTGAACCACATGAATGAACTACAGATATACAAATATTATTTGGGCTTAGACTTATCTCTAACCCCAATCTCAGAACATTTGGTTCTATTGCATGGCCTGCTCGATGCCCGCCCCCATGAAGAGATCACCAGAGATATAGGTGCTAAAGCAAAGCGTGGCGAGGAAACTAGATTGTGACCAGCTATGAGAAAGAATAGTGTCTGGGATCTTAAAGGCATGTCTCAAAACAAGCAGTCATCTAAATGAGGTTTCCACAAGTCTGCATGGAAGAAGCATGCCAGCCTGTGTGATCAAAGGAACGTAAGTAACAAAATACAAATCTGAAAGAGGGACTGATATCAGCGCTTAAAAGGTCTGATTAAAATCCAGGATAGGTAGATCTACAGAGATAGTCACTAGACTAATAGCTCCTTAGGGTTATGGCAGAAGTTAGGGGTAATAGGGTGCTAATTATGAGTACAAGAATGAAGAAAATGTTCCCAAATTGATTGCGGTTATGACTGCACAATCCTTTTAAATATATTTCAACATTTGAATTGTGTGCTACGTGGATAATAGGTCACTAAAACTGTTTGTAAACAAAAAGAGTTACAGTCTAGGAAAGCCGCAAGGCAGTTCTACCCTAGCTTGTAGTGTTGCTATGAGTCAGAATGGACTTGATTTTGACAGCAGTGAGTGACTGAGTATGGTTAAGATTCAAAACAAACAAATAACAGAAGCTGGAGTGAATATGAAAACTGGAACTCTTATCCATGGATCACGGGAATGCAAAATGATATGACAGTGTGACCATTCTTCAAAACCCTAACAGTAGTGCTGTCATAAGATTCAGCAACTCAGCGGTAGCTATACTTCTCATACACCCAATACAGTGGAAAGCCCTGACTCAAAAAGAGATGTGTACGTCAATGTTTATTGCAGTATTTTTCATAAAAGGCAAAAAGTAGAAACAACCTCAGTGCTCATTAGCATATTAATGGTTAACAAAATGTGGTAGATGCATATCATGGAATACTACTGAATGTCTTCAGAGGCTATTTTTATATACAACCAAATGCCTCACAGAATCTGCTTCTTTGGTGTGGAGGTTTAGGGCCATGGTTTCATGTGACATACCAATTCAATGATATAACAGCATATTTAGTGCTTCTTAGTTCCTTGCATCATGTGCATCATGACTGAGATCATTAACACTTGCAAGCATTGAGCCACAGCTCAACAGTTGGCCTCTGCTCACCTAGCAACAGAGGAAGGAGAGTCAGGAATAGGAGGGTATGACATAGAATGTGTGCTTGTCTCCAGGAACTGCCTCCTTCCTTTCCCAAGCGACCAGAAGAACTGGATGGTGCCCAGTTGCCTTGAGTAGTTCAATCAAAGCTTTCATAGAATCCTATTCAAAGGGAGAAAGTGTAGCAAGAATACTAATCAAAAGGTAGGGAATAGAAAACAGAAATATCATGGATTTTTTTTTTTGATCCACACAGGGTAGATGAACCTCTGAAACTATTGCCCTAATATCTTTAAACTTTGAACCAAAAGGATCCCCTGGAGTCTTCTTAAAACCAATCATAATTTAGCTTAACTGGTAAAAATGGTCCACATTATGCTCTTTT